AACCTTAAGTATCTGGGAATCACAATAAACAATAGACTTTCTGAAATAGTACATCTCAAAGAGATAAAGCATATATTGAATCAGCTAAGTGACACCATGATCAGAACAACAGGACTTCACTGAGGTACTTAAATAAAAATTCTAAAGACCTTTTATAATACAGTCTCGGAGAGAATTATTTTATATTTGCTGCCATATGGTCTAAAAAACTCACTGCCTGTATGAGGAGGTCTCTCTTAACACTACAGAGAATGCAGGTACTGATATTCAAGGGATAGAGAGCATCTCCTACTGTGACACTACAAATGTTGGCAGTCATGCCTCTACTTGACCTGTAAGTGGAGAGAGAATTCTTACTAGTAAGGACACTGTGCCTTGAAGAAAATGTAACCCTGTGGCAGAAATCATTCATTCATACAGACTATGAAAAGCATAAGCTAATTATGCTAGGTCACCTGCTGGAGTCAGATGTAACATACACAGTGACACACACACTGGCCATTTATACAGATGGTTCAAAAGCTGAAAAGGGCACAGGTTGTGCCTACCTTGCATACTCCAAGGAATCAGGGTTGCCACGCTAACTGGAAAACCTGAAAAAGGAGGAAAAGTCAGGGAATTTAAAAATTGACTAAAAGAGTCAGGGAATTAAAATATTCTAGTCAAAATCTGGAAATGTTGGGACTTTCGTTTGGCAGTCTCCCAAAGAAGCGATTTTCCCACCAACGTTGGAAGCAATCACTTTGTTGGCGAATTATGTATTGCACAAACATCATTCAGATGTAGAGCCAATTTTTGCAGCTCCAGTCGGATTGTCTCTTAGAAAGGCAAAGCAAGTTTCCAGTAACCTCGAGAATCATGAGATTTGCATGGGCATGTGCAGTGCATGTTGAATGAAAGAAAATACTTTCCCATTCTCCTATAAAACAAAATTGGTTTAATCCTAGTATATGGTACATACTGGATGTGGTGACATTATGATGAGCAGTAAATAGGTCATTTTGGTATTGCTGACAGTTTTCAAAATCATGCCAAGGAGCAAGGCTATATGCCAAGGCTGTATACAAGGATTGTACAACAAAATCTTTTAAACCTTTTTTTTTTCCTTTTTAATAAATGCCTTATTTGTCATTTTTCAGTAAAATAAAAAAATTGTTATCAGTCATCTAGGCTAACCATTTAATATAATTATATTCGCCAAAATATCATTGATTATTATAATTCACTTTTTAATCTTTAAGCAATTAACTTTATTTTAATGTTACTCATATCATTAAATGTGGCTTCTTCCTTCTAAATTTACAAGTTGATAATACTTTCAAACTTTCAGGCAATTTTCTCTGGCATATTCCTGAAACTAATTCTTGCAGTATGATGACATACCATCATGAAATTTAATGCACATATTTTTTGCTTATGTGTGCTTCTAAATAAATATAAAATACCTGAATTTATTCTAAAATATCATTAAATAGCATCTTTCGTTTAGCTGCAAAATGTCTGAAAAAAAAAAAAAAAGGGGGGGGGCCATTTTTTTTAAATCCATTTTTGGCAGATTCTAATCTGTCTTCAGTGGAGAAAACAATTTCTATTTTAGTTATAATAGTAATGCTTTGGGGATAAGTATGTATGTAATTGGTAAATTTTTGTGCTTTCAAGTGGTACCATAATTAATTTGCCTCTCAGCACAGCCAATGCACACTACACAGATAGACTGATATTTTCTTATAACACACCTGGAAAAGTCAGTGAATTTCAGTAGCAATCCTGAAGGAAGAGAAGAGGTCTAAACTTGGGGGAAATGCCTAGAAGTGGAAGATTTCACATTTGAGATGGAGCTTATCGCTAAAACCAGCAATCAATTTGACCAAATTTCACGTAGGTAAAAAGATAATTGTATTTAGCGACTCAGCCTTAAGCTTTGAGGCAATTTGACGGGGAAGAAGTAGGAGTCCGATAGTACAAACCATACAAAAAGTTCTTCTAAGTTTCCATTGGGAATGAAGTAGTGAACTTACACACTAAATCTACAGCTAATGATCCCAATCAACTCAAAAATCCAGTAATTGTGCCACAATCATATTTGAAGAGAATTATGCTAAATTATCTAGCATATGAGTGGCAAAAAAGATGGGATGGTGAAAATACAGGAAGAAGGTCATACCAATTCTCCCCAAAAGTTTCATGTATTAGAAAGACACAGGATTAACACAGACCCAATTTTGCATAGGCCATGGTCTCTTCACCCATTACCTTCGTAGATTTGGAAAACAAGACACAGACTTGTATGAATGTGAAGAGGTAGGGGATCCAGATCACTACCTTTTCAACTGTCCAAACACAAAGATTGAGCACCTAAAAATTTCTAACAGTATCTACTAACCGCAGTGGGCCAAGAATAGATATGAAAATAAGCAGGACAAACGTAAGATTGAGAACATTATCAGACTCTGTGCAGTAAAATATAAAAAACGGGAATGCCGTAGCAGTTTTGGCACAGTGCATTTTGCTTCCTGCAGTGGAGAACAGTGCCTCGATTAACATTCTTAGGTGAACTGAAGGCTAGCGCAGCTATACCAAACAACACTAATGCTCAAGTATTAATAACAATACAGTAACAATGATAATATGAATTGCAGTAACTCAACATATCACCATAAAGGACCAGCAATATCAGTCTAGCATCATCACTTTTTGATTTAGCAATGTTGAGTTACAAATTACTGAGATGTAACGTAAGTTAATGAGTTCATAATGCAGTATGAAAAAAAAGCATTGCAGGTGTAGATATTTACATACTATGCATTTAATTATTCTCACTGATACTTGCATTTGCTGAAAATACCTTTTATAGAGCAATTGAACAATAGTAAAGAACTTCAAGTCAGTGCAAAAGTTCTAACTGCTTCAATGATATATATCTCTATGACAGAACTGTAAATATGGACTGTATAATGTTTCACACTTTTGCTTGAACTCAGTTTCATCATGTACATAATGTTAATCAGGATTATTGGGTACGTATGAACGCACATCGAAATCATTAAAGCACATGAAAATAACAAGTAAATAATGTACGAAAACAGGCAGTGAGTGTATTAGTTTATACAGGTAATGTACCCACCAGAATCTTGTATATTTATGTAGTGAATGTGTTATGAATTGTGTATATGTGTTATGAATGTGTATATGTGTTGTGAATCTTACATGCTATGAACTTGTGTATTTGTGTATGTTCTGTATTCCGTAAATCTTGATTAGTCACAATAATGAGTGCCACCCATTTTCACGCTCAGGTTTTCCATCTGCCAAAATGGCGATACACTGGAAGACATTTACTTAAATGTCAAGTCAGTGGTCATCCCTGGTGGTGCACAGTCTCTTTAGAAAGCATTCCAAGATAGCATATGTACTGAGACAGCTTAGACAGCTTTAATTAAACTAACCAATAAATGATACTGCACAGTGTCAAGTATCTTTGTTGTGAAAGACTGCAAAATTATGCTCATTTAAGAAGTTAACAGTAAATCATAAAGATGGGAATGATGATAAAAAGAACTAATCTAATTAAAGATTATAAGTCAAATTTAATCGTTACAATCAAGTGAGATACAATGATTCTGTCATTAAAAGGAACTTGGATTAGGATTTATAGCTAATCAGCTTTAATTAAGAACATTTTATATCATGAAATATGGATAATTATTTCAGTGAGAAAAACTTTTTAAGAAGTTAAGTTATTCATATAAAATATTGGAAATAAAATAATGCCATTTTATTTCTAATGTTTTTTACTGTATTAGGTTTGTATACTGTAAAAATGTATTTATGTTGTATGTAAGTTAATGTAAATTTAACTCTGCCAATGTGGTAGATATGTTAAAGTTATAATAGCAGCAAAATTGCAGCCATAAAAATTGTCAAAACTGAGAATTTAAGCAACTTCTGATTTTTTAAGAAATGATATATCTTTGTGTCAAATTAAAAATCTTTAAATTGCATGTATGGATAAATGCTTAACAAAAAGAAAGGGACAGAAAATTCAAATTATTTTGATTGATACTAGTAATCTGAGGTTAAATTATCCAGTTGATCTTGTTAAGTGATCTAAAAAGATATACAGTGATTTTGGGAATTTTTAAATTATGCTAGATGCAATCAAGGAATGTCAGTACTTGTAAAAAAAAATAAAATCCCATAGTACATGTAATTATAGAAAATGATTGATTACAACAAGTGATTACAACTTATAAAAGTAATATGTTTTCATCAGTGTTCGAAAGCTTGCGAGGCTTGGTAGGAATTTATTATTTTCAACTAATTAAGTATGTATTTATGTATTGAGGATAGGTCTATCCTCAATCCTATAACAGTCCTATAAAAAGTAAGAGTAGGCGCTGTATTTTTTAGTAGTTCAGTAGAATAAATACTCATCTTTTGTGTATTTTTCTTGTTGCTTGATGATAAAACTTCTTGAATAAGCAAAACGATATTGTTTAACTTTTCAAATTAAAAATAAATAATTACTTACCTTCTGATAGTTATTAGTTCCTTTAAAAACGAACTTCTTTGTTTAAGCATAGTATGCATGAATGTGGTTTATAAATCAAGTAATATTTTAGTAATTTGTAAATGAAAAGTATTCTATACAGGAAGGTAGTTTGTAAATCAGGTAATATGTCAGATACTTGTAAATGAAAACTTATGAGGAAGGTAATATTTTGTTACATCTTAAAATAATGTTATTTTTATATTACATCATAAAATAATTTTATTAGTGTAGACTGAAAGAGAGAGCATTGTTAATTTTACAATTTTATTCCACTTTATAAAGTTTGTTCTTGAATTATTTGTGCAGTCTGTAGTTATTTAATAAATAATCAGTACTTATTTCAGAGGATTTTTTTTTAATGTTCACTTTTATTTATTGTTGTACCCTTGTAACATTTAAAAATATTTAATTTTTATTTTAATTGATCTTTTTTTATTTTTATTTTTAGGAAATAAATCCTTTATATAGAGAAGCTGTTTCAGAGTATCGCAATCCAACTTATAAAATCAATCAGTGATTTATTCCCAAATAATTTTGTATCTAGTCTAAGAGCAGTGAGTATTAGTTTTAGGTTAGTCAGAAGTGATTAACATTTTAATAATCTTTCTTCAGAATAATTTCTTGGTAGTTAGTAATAATTTTTTATAATTATGTTAAATTTTTTTATAAGTTCATCTTTTGATATATTGAACTGACAAAGTGCTGCTATTTGTCAAACAACAGTTAACTATATTTTATGGATATTTTTTCCCCTGTCTCAACACTAATACATTTATTACTTAAAAGGTATTGAGCACTAGGAATTATTTTTCATATTCACTGTGTTCATGTTGTTTAAGAAATTATTTTCATGTTATATGTTCCGTTGCTTTTGTATTTTATAGTCTCATCAAAACCTGTGTTTGTTATATAAATTTCAAAGTATTCAGCTACAACTGTAGAACTTTTTTTGTTTTCTTTTTTAGTGATAAGTTGTTTATATATCAGGCATAAATACGATGTAGAGTTGATTGCATAGAGAAGTGGTCTCAAACTAGTGGCCTGTTCATACATTTCAATGATGTAGTTGTTGCAAATATTTCAAGAGTTTAGCTAGTTGAAGTCTGAGTTTACATTAGTTTCATTATCATTAAAAACAAACATGAATAATGCACAAAATCTAATAGTGGGTTACAAATCTTATTCGGAGATTTGAAGATGCAGATTTTATTAATTTTTATTCATGCTTGTCAAAAAATAAATAAGCTAAGTTATGAATTTTAGCACTAAGAATAATCGCTTTGTTCGGGAATACATTTACTGTATGTGAACAGCTTTTTTTCACAATTGAAAATAATAAGAAAACATGATTGACCAATGACCACCTGTAATCCATTATGAAGATAACTGAAGTTAATTTAGTAATTTCTGTCTAAGGCTACAAACTTTGTCAAAATTTAAAATGCCATTCAGTGTTATAGTAAGAAAAAAAAAAGAAGTGTATAATAGCTTGAATATATGTATTTTATTTATGCATCAAAGAAATATTTAATAAATAAGAGAAACAGACTGAATTATCATTTTTTATTCTCAAGTTTTGTACCACTTGGAAAATTTTCTGGGATGAAATGTTCATAATTTTGTTATTTTTAATTTAATGAATGATTCTCAATGAATTTAAATGAATAAATTAAGTGAGATATTTAATGATTATTAATCATGCTAGAAATATTTTAAATAAGCAAAGTCTGAAAACTTAATATTTAGCTATCAGTATATTTGAATAACAAAGTGTAACCAACAAAAATGTCTTGCGGGTGTCAAACTTCAGATTTCAGCTAGAAAATAAATATAAATTTAAAATTTTGTCTTTGCGATGTTATTATTGCTATTTATGTATGTTTTGATAAATATTTTCTGAGTAAAATTTAAAATGTGTTTAAAGTAATTTTCATTTTATTTAAAAAAAAAAAAAACTCAGCCCATTAACTGTTTTCAGATTCGACATTTGGCCTACATGCAATTTGAGTTTGAGACCACTGGCATAGAGAATTAATGCTCATAATGCAGCTACTTACTGAGTTTTAGAGAGGTTAAAAAATAAAGATTATTTTGCTTACTTCTGGAGAAATTGTCGTATTATTAAGAGAGCTGACAGTAGACACACATGTTCAAAATTTTTTTTTTATGTTGTACTGAGAAAAACTTCAGTTATTTGATTCATATGTATGTGTGTGTGGTACATATGTATGTGTATATGTGCTCATATGTATGTGTGTATGGACTAGTGTATATGTTCAAATAATTGATTCTAATCTCTAAAAAGGCGGACTGTCTCAAATAAGGCATGCATTCTTGAATGTTCATCATTTATTTTAACTGAACAGAAATTTATTTGAAATATTTCACTTTTTTAAATTCCTACTATTAGCTCACACTCTCCTTATATCTTGTTCAAATTTTCAGCCGTTAATAAAATGCTTTTTATTTATCCACTCAAGTTCAAATACATATTTTTAACTTGTAGTGGATGACACTTAATGCTAATACAGTTTTTTTCACATATTAAATTAAATTTTTTTTTTTTAATTTTTAATTAAAATTTGTTTTTTTTTTATTTAAAAAAAAAATTGTTGTTGACCTAAGTAGGAATTGACTTTAAGTAGGATTTTTAATTAATTGACTAAAAAAATTTTAATTATTAAATATCAATCATTAATAAAAAACTTTTTATTCATCCACTCAAATTCAAATTATTTTTTTAAACTTGTAGTGGATGACATTTGATGTTAATACAGTTTGTTCACATATTAAATTGTTTTTCACATATTAAAATTTTTTTTATATATGAAAATAAAATTTTTAATTTTTAATTAAATAATAAATATATATTATAATATTAAAATGTTATTGATAATATTAAACACAAATTAAAAAGTACCAAAAATTTTTTAATATTTTTTAATTTTTCTTTGTTGACCTAAGTAGGAATTGACTTTAAATTTTTTTATATTACTTGTTTATTCTGATATTAATTTATAATTTTCAGCAGAGTGTCATTGTAATACTTTTGACAGACATCCACATTTGCGGATGTTCTCATGTTATGATGTACAGCTAGTGCATTTATTATTTTGCTCTTTAAGAAATTTATAATTATTAACTTGTTTTGACTGAAAGATTAACTCTTGCATTTTGAACCCATAATTAGGAAAATTACTTTCATAAAATAAATTTGTTTTGCCCAGACCAAGAGCCTGAAGCAGGTAAAGAAAGAAGTTTAGAATAAGAGAGGCAGAAACAGAATAGTGTGATTGAATATGTAAATTATAATCAGAAAAATGTTTATAGATTGAAGAATTAAGTTATTAAGTGCTGGCAAAGAACAACTGGAAGATTTCAAAGCACTTTTTTCCCAGAATTTTCCAGCAACAGTCTAAACAAATTTTAACAAATTAAAGTTAACGATCACTCTCTTAATTGATATTTGGAGACTACACCTTACAGGTTTAAACCTTACTAGTTTAAATTGAAGTATCTTTAAATGTCTTGAATTCTTAAAATAGGCAAATTTAAATTTTGAATCATTATAAATTTAAATACAAGATGTTCTAAAATTTGTTTAATTGTGAATTTGGGCTTCTGTCCTAATTTAAATTATTAAGTAAAATAAACATAAAGTTGTTTTGTTAAATTATTTAATTTTAAAATCTCTGCATGTTTATTTTTGAATGCAGTTTGCTGTGTCATTTATAAAACTTCAAACAGGTTAATTTTATTTGAGTCTGTGATGTAGAATTTTATCTAAATCATCCTGGTGCTTCCTTTTGTTAAATAAGACAACTGAAATTTTTGAAGCTGTTCCTGTTATATTACGTTTTTATTGATGCTTGTGTTTAATTATTATTTTATGCAAAAGTAATGTTTCAGGGAAATTACTTAATTTTATTCACAACTGTTTTATTTCTTCATCAGTGTTAATATGTGTTTAGCTGTTATTTTGTTAACTTATGCTTTAATTTATAAATAATATGGGCATTATTATAGAATCTAAGCTCTAGAGTTTTTCAGAGTTTGAAGAATATTTATCTATTTTTATAGAAAACAGTAATTTCATTCCTAAATATATGTTCCTTCTAATATATATTCCAAAAGTGTTTGTTTTGTTATAGTATATTGTCTTTTAATTGTTTTAGAATTATATCTTTTACTCTTTTTTGTATGTTTTTGAATAAAATCTATCAAAATATGTGTATTGTTGCATTAGTTTCGATATTAATACATGCAGAAATTGATAGACATGAAACTAATCCTTGTGAAGATAATTCACTGAATATTATTATTTCCACTCCAGTTTTTAGGGTAATATTTATAAGTAGGGTATTTTCTTTTTATATTTGTTTTAAGTAATATTTTTTTTACATCGTAATGTACAAAATAAATTTTGTTGTGTTACATATTTTATTTTATATCTTTAACTAAGTACAGATTTTTACCACTAAGCTATTTTTTGAGCTAATTCCTCTTAGTTATCTGTTTTTGATGCATTCCACATTTTTCATATTTGAGCTAAATATGTTTTATGGACAACTGAAAATATAATACTTCTGTAGTTTTTTTATTAAAATTTTTTAATTTTGCATTTATTATGCAATTTTTACAATTTGTTATTAAGAATTTTGAATGCTATTTTATACTTTTGATGTTCTTTTTTTTTAATTGTTGATTCAATATGAAAGAAATATGTGTGATTTCATTCTTCTTAAGTAATATTTAATAAGAAATGTAGATTTAAAAGCAGTAAGTGATCTTTTTACATGCTAAATATTTTAAGTTAATGTTAAAATTTTTCCCCCATTAATGTTCTTCATGTTCATGTTATAAAATGCTTTACCTTTATAAATCTTTATAAGATTGTATAATATTTCAATCAAATTACCAGTACATGCTCTATCTGTAATCAATGAAATTATCCATATTTTAGTGAATGCAGCTTAAAATGTTGATTATTATATATGATTGCAATTGTTTAAGAGTTGAATAATTTAAACGATTAGTTTAAGCTAAATGAAATAAATTTGAATTATATTTGAACCACTGAATAATTTTTGATGTTCTCATAGAAAGTATACCTTTGCTTTTATATATATATATATAAAACTTTTTTTGGAGAATTTTTAATAACCACATAGTGATTCTGAAAGTTTATGAAAGCTATTCAAATTATGTAGAAGTGTATTTTGTAAGTTGTACGTGGAAATTATACTGAATTAGTTATTAAGGGATTATGAATAGTTGTCTGTACACACATTAGTAGACATTTTGTTTTCCAAGCAACAAAAATCGCAATTTTTTTATATTGAATGTTTGAAATAATTGATTCAGATTAGATTACTGAAGCTAAATAATTTTGAATTCACAATATATTTAATTCAAGTACTTGTCAGTTCTGTTGGCCACCAAAGCAGCAAGGGAAAAGTTTTTGCCAAGTTTAGGCACCATATTAAAAATAAATAAATAAATATTGGAATTGAAATGGAAATGCAAAAAACAAATGACTTATTTTATTTCCAAAACTACAAATTGCTACTTGAAAGAGTCCCCCTGAGAGAAGATTTCCTACAAATTTGGGAGGGAAGGCTTTCACATTTATTTGATTTCAGGTTTGATTTTCAACTAGTTTAGAAGGATACATATGTGCTTTACAAGTATGAAAATGTTTGAACTGAAGAAAAATATCTAATTCAAATGTGCAAAAACACCACCAAACTTGGAGATTAATTGTTAGTAAAACTGACAAGTATCTTAAATTATTTAGTTGTTTATTCAATTTAATTATTAACTGTTTGGTAAATATATGAAAAAAGTTTTTTATGTTTTTGAAAGAAATGTAGTTTTGCTAGTGGAATAATTTTCATTTTGCTAGTGGAAATCATTTCTATAAGACATAATTAAATACTGTTAATTAAAAGAAATTAAACTCTTTTTGTTATTTATAAATTTTTTGACAATGATTCTAAATTTAACTTGAATAAATTTGTATTCAATTTTAATTATATTTCTTGTTCTTTCATTCATAGTTTTTTTTTTATAGAAGTAGTTTCTGATAAAAAAATTTTTGATTTTCTGTATTTTGTTGATGTCTTAATGCTCTGCTTTCTGGTAGTAATACTCTCATTCTTTTCAAAATTGTTAAAATCATTCTTTACCTTAAGGTAGGTAAACATTTATTTATATTTAATATTCTAATATTTCTACTACAGGTATAACAGCATTTTAGACATATTAAGAGTAACTTATTTGCATAAGTGGCATTGAAATATCTAAAATTCTGATTTTATGGATAGTGTTAAGTAACAGTGTCAGCTGTCATAATATCTTTATGTATTATGCTGTAGTTTTAAAAGAATTCAAGGCATTATTCTAGGTATATTAATTTATTATTCATAATGAAGGGCCTGTTATTATCTCTATTTTGAAGAAAAGAAAAAATGCTGCAGATACGCAAAATAATAAATTAATCTCCCTTCCAGTACACCAGCTAAAATAGGTTAAACTGATTTTTTAAATTTAATAATTTATTCTGTAAAAAATAGGTTGCTTTTCATCAAAATAGGTCTGCAGCTGGTCGAATAACCCTTGAGTCAAACAGTAAAAGACTCTTTGGATAGAAGAATTGGGGTTACTAATATATATTGCTTTTAAATTTAACTCTGCTGAACTAAAGATGACTGAACCTTTTCATTTTTAGGACAAAGAAGCTATAGAATGCATCATCAAACCTGTGTCTCAAAAATACATTCCTCAGGTTGCGTTACCCAAAATGCATCATTAGCTGTTTTACATTCAGTAGATTTACTAATGATCTGATATCAGCCTTAAATTCATATTAATTAAATGTCTGCTTTTGGGGGGATGATTTAGTTATTCTGGCTGAAGTTCTAAAAAACATACTAAACTGTGAAAGTTTTGAATGAAGCATCTTGAGTTCTTTCTAATTGATACAGAGAAAATAGTATGATCGTGAGCTTTACAAAACTGACAGTATAGACTGTTTCCTTAACCTCTTTGCTGCCAACTTCGAGAAAATGATATTCCATCATGCACCAGTGATCTTGAAGTGCTGAACATGCAAGAATTATTCCTATAAAATATGCTTATTCACTGAAAGATTAGGATTTTTGCATGCATTATTTAAATGTTATTTCTTATAATATAAGCAGGAAATCCTAATACTTACAGTCAAAATAAAATTATATAATATGTTAATGTGTAGTATTAGTAATAATGATTATATTTGCTCATTTAACTCCATGCTTCTTCTATGCTTCATGCTCATTTAACTCCATGCTTTAACTTAATGCAATGAAGAAGTAAACAATATTAACACTTGAACATCAGTACCTATTGTGTCATATTGCCATATTTACATAAAAAAGTTTAATCCACTTCCACTGTGTGAAACATTTTCAAATTCTGAATGCACATTGTAAACATTATGCATTTTACATTCATAGAATAAAATAATATATATAACAACAAGTAAAACTCAAGAGATTCTATTCAGTAAGGTTTCACAGCATTGTTACATAATTTGTGTCAATTTAAATTTGAAATAAAACGTTCCATTTTAGCTATAAAATGGTGAGCTAGAATGGAACGTTAAAATTATAATAAAATAAATAAAAAAATTATATCAAGTATAAAATGGTGAGCCACCAGTGACACTCCACTTCTTTATCATGTTTGATATAGTGGATCACCAGTGATCCATCACTGTCATATCATATTGAATATGGTGGGCCCATGGAGAGAAACTGGAGTGTATCATATATGATATGCTGTAAATGAAGAGGTTTATGTATCAGAATATTCAACCTGACTTATTTTACCATAATGTAAGTTGATTAATACCAAGAAATCTGTTTGCTTAGAAGTGATTTTTTGTGATAAATTGAAATTGAAAAATAAGAGTGACTGTATTATTGAAAAAATTTGAAAATAATTATGTATCCATAAGTGCTTTGCTAGCTGTCATTGGGAATATGCTCAGTTATTTTGATTATAGCTATAAAACGTTTATCTTGCCTATTATCATTTATTGTTCTGGAGTTTTAATAAAAGTTTCTTAGTTGTCTGCGGGGAGACATCTCTTGAAAAATTAGCAACTTTATAAAATCAAACCCTTGATTGTCTTGCAGTAAAAACTAATTCCATTGATTGTATTAATTTTGACTGTTATGACTGAATCATTTTAAAACTGAGAAAAGTGCTGCCTTGCTTTGTAAGACCTGATGTGCCTTTTTGGAACTCTTATGAAAATATACCAATGAACATGAATACTCAGAGTGGCGTAAGAATGAATCATGTTATTGAATATTTGAACCCTTGCCCTTCTACAGAATTCTAGATCAAAGATTCTCCAACAGGAGGAGAATTCTTTAGGGAGGAATTTCTTAATTTCAAAAGAAAATGCAGTCAGCCTTTTATTTAGCTGCTAAGTATTTAGTAGTTTATGAATATAAAAGAACAACTTTTATTCAAGTTTTGGTATTTACCAACATTTTGTATATTTTTTGTTGTTTAATTTATGAAACACAATAAAAATAATGTAAATTTAAATAAATGTATATATGTATTTATGAAATTTTTAAAAGGAGGGAAAGAGATAATCTAGCAATGGTGAAAGTGGTCATGGGACAAAAAAGTTTGAGAACCACTGACTAGATATTCATAAATGCTTGTAATTGAGATAGAATGAACAGCTATCAACTCATACCTCTTCTAAAACCTGGAAAAAATATTCTGAATTTAAAAATATTATTTAAACTTTGTATAAGAGCATATGCTGAATTCAGACTGTATGATGGACATGATTGTTTGGTAAATCCATATACACTATATTGACAACTTAACCTAGTCTAAGAAAGAAACGGGATCTTTATTATGAGATGCTTGGCATTGCATGGAATCTCTGAGTTGTGAGGTATTTGAGTGCTAGAAGCCTGATCAGATATTGACTTTTCGGATCATCTTGTTTTGTGTTTTATTGTATTGTCGTAAAATGCGAGTCTTTTTTCTTTCATTGGATATTTAGAAGTATATATAGGTATGGAAATGAGCATTTATTATGAAGATATATAAAGGAATTAGAAGAATGAATGGAACATGGTTTTCTTCAAAAGGTATTGGACTTAAAACTAAAAATGGAGGTGTTGACTGTGCAGATAAAAGAATTTATGAATATTTATGGACTATATTTTAGGAAAATCTTTAATGATTTTCCGTGTACAGTTATTTGATAGTTCTAAATTCAGAAAAAGAGTTAATTGCAGTTATTGAATTAAAAATAATTGTTGCCATTCAGAAGCAAATGAAATTAAACTTTATACAAAAATATAACTTAAGAACAAAGTTAATAGGAAAAAATAAGCATTCATTTTTAGTCTTCTTTGGTTCTGAAACAGAAACTTTAGTTCATTTCAAGAACTTTCTCCTCTTCAAAAAGTTCTTGTAATTTCACTAATAACTGATGAATTTGAAAATGGGTGGAGAATATTGTGGGTAATAAAAAGGTCTTAAAAATTATTTTAGGATTGTAATATTTGAGTGTTTACCTACCTTAAAATTCTTTTCAATTAAAGTGGGGAAAATTGTTCCTTAGTAACATTGAAGAGTATCTGTATGCTATGATTTTTATCCTTATTTGTCATTAAACGTAAATCAAGTAATACTGATTCATATATTCTCTTTTTCCTCCATATGAATCAAAATATTATGTATATATGTGTGTTTTTAAAATACCTTCTTTGTTTATATATTTTCAGACTGAAAAGATGAACATACTTTTTATATTTGTTGGTCATGTTATTGTTTTCTTATTTAAAAATGTATGCCTTTTGATAATGTGATATTTATTCCTTAAGCCATCCAAAGGTGTTTTAGCCATCCATAATTCCATTGTGTTCATGAGTATTTATTTTTCAAAATATCTGTACTCTTTGTACTCTGTAGTATGAAATTATAAAATATGTGTAGTGAAGAAACTTTCTTAAACAGAATTCCCTAAAGCATATTAGGATTTAATCTGTGTGTGCAAAAAGACATTTTGTTCTGATAATCAAATGTAATTTTTTGTATTGTTTTTTATAATTATGTATAGTTTTCTTATTGATGCTTTTCTGTATGTATTTAAGAAATATGATTTATGTTAGTTTTAGTCCTTATGCATTTTCATGCAAAATTTAAATAAACTTTTATGATAGGTAAGTGAAGTATTTACTTAGAACTGTGCTAAACAGTACAATACATGAGTAACTGGAAAATTTGGTTAGTCCAAAAATTGCTGTGTAAAACAATAATTACTGCAAAAGTATGATTAAAAATCAAACTGTTATAGATTTTAAATAAACAGTATACTCTTTAAAATGCAGCTTAAATAAAACAGTAATAACATTTTATACAGATTTTGAGTTTTTCTCTCAATAAGAGTGCTCTATCTCTGAGAGTCATAATGGTGTACTTTAAGCCAATATGACACATACCGTTCAGATATGTGATATTATTAAACACAAACTCAATTTTTTCATCTTACCTACATCTTTCACAGCCACTCTTACTATTGCATTGTGAATGCCTGTACCTGATAAAATATTATAGCATTCATCTTTTTTTTTTTTTTTATTATTATTATTATTCCTTCATTGCCATTTCTATCCTTTTTCACTAATATTTTCAAACTGTCAAACAGAAGAAACCTCAGCAAGGCTTGATGTTGCTGCCTCTTCATTGAAAGAACCTTTGCTCTTTTCAATATTAAATTTTTCAATCATGAGTTAATAACAAGCTTTGAACTTCATTCAGAGTCTTAACAATCATATTACTTCTTCAAAAGTTGTGAATTTATATGAAATATTACAAGTTTTTTTTATCTTCTTCAAGTAATGGTATAAGAACCTCTTTTTTTAAGTATTTTGCAAAAATAATCCGCACAGTGAATAAAAGCCATATGAATAACTGGAAGTTCAGTATACATTCAAGTTAGAATTTAATTTCAAATACTGAATTTTACATGTGATTTTTAAAATTACCCTTGCATATCATAGCATCTTCACCAAGCCGATAATAAAACTTCATTAGGAATTGTAATAAAAAATGTGGCAGGTATGATGTTGTCTTGAAATAATTTAGTACTATGTTTTAATATAGTTCAGCATAAAATTTCTAAGGTAATATGATTTTCTAATTGAAGCATACACCTGTTAAAAAATCCTTTATCCCATTTCATATAGTCACGAGTTTTAAAATTAGTTGTTGCATTTGTTGATTATGGAATTTTTTTTTTTTTTTTCATTTCATGTAGTCATGTATTTTAATATGGTTCACCGTATCTGTTTGTTCATGAGGAGATATCTGCTCTGTGGTATTAGATGTAACATCTGCATTTGTAGATTGCACGGACTGTGAGCTGGATGGACAAGGTGATACAGATGGCCTTGTAAATGTTAGTTGTGGTGGTTCAAATTGAGGAATATCATCTTCCTCACCTTCTTCATTACCTTCATAAAGAATAAGCAGGTTTGCTGTGCTCATATTATCTGGATCTTCTTGGGGTAGTTCATGAATCCAGTCATCTGTTATTGCACCTTTTTCAGCTGCATAACGTTTAACATCTGGCAAACTTTGAAAACGAGATGCATTTTTATTGAATCCAGTGATACTTCTGTCATCAAAAGACTGCCTTCTTTGGTTTGCAGAGGCTTGTAAAAAATCATCAAATGTTGAAGCGTCTCCTCTGTAGAGTGATAATATTTCACTTTCATCATCCCTGCTAGATGCACTATGAAAGGCAACCCACCGATTTTGGGGGTGGTGACCATGACCTTTTCGACGCAGATGTGGCCTCTTTATAACAACTTTCTTCACTACCTTCTTTAAAGCTGCTTTTGGTATTATTTCTGAGGCTCTTCTTTGAGTTGCTCGTGCAGTCTGTTGTGAAGTGACACTATCAGCATCAACAAGGCTTTCTTCAGGCACCTGCAGAAGTTGAGTTGCTCTGGAAGAAAATATGAGACATTTACAAATTATTCTGGTTCACATAAAAAGGCTAAAAAAATGAAAATTAAGGCAAGCTAAATGGAAATTTTGAGTGTTGTGCAATTCAAGATTGTGTATAAATTTTCTATAAAGTTTTAAAATACATATGTTATGTAAATAATATTAGATACTTGGTTTTTATTTTCTGCATTTGGACAGATATTTAATAAATTCATTGCCTGTATAGAGTTTAGTTAGGCAATTAGATTATCTATGAATCTACATTAAAATAACAGACAAAAAAAAGGTTAGTCAGTTCTCTGACATGTGTAATCAAATTTTATGTTCATTATATAAAGAAATTACCAGTATCAGTGTAAAAATGAAGTTCTTTCCTCTTATATGTAATTATGAAAATTAGTGGGGGACAAAAATGTCTTGAAGCCAACAATACCCAAGGGCATGAAACAGGTAATGAGATGCATATGACTGATAAGGCTACAGTAATATATTAGTAATTGAAAATTCCCTAACATAGTCTCAGAATGGGAGTTGGAATTCAAAAGTTTAGCAGCTACAAAATTAAACTGTTTGAAATTGTGCAGATGAATCGCAATTCACATTCTATAAAATAATAATTTCTATAAGTTTTTTAACTATGATATATTTTGTTTTGAATTCATTTTTAAAATTTTTTGTGCTGATTTTTGAAGATCATTTCACAATTGTTTCCATCTTCAGTCTCTGAAGTTCCAAATATGTACCTGGTAAACATAATATATAATAAGAAATTATTGTTATGAAAATTGCATTTTATCATTTCAACAGATATTTTTTAGTTAGTGGTGAATGAATACTGGTAATTAAATTGAAGATTAAATGTGAAACGTGTTTAAATTCTATAAATTCCTGATAAAATATGCATGAGGGATTGATTAACTGTCATGTATACTTCCTGATATTACACTCATGTCCAAAATTATCTTTACATACCCAAAAATGATGATTTCAATGAAATATCGAATCAATGTGATCCGTATTTGCAGAGAATGTGTGAAAACCAAGCCTAATTAGCATTATCCAATCAAAAGTAATCAAACGGTTTGTCATATGCAAATCTAGGCATTGCGTCATCCAAGGGTGAATCAAGCGCTTTGCGCAAATTGAATATATTTGAGTGAATTTCTGCAACATAGCGTTTGATTTCAGTGTGCAGGGACTCAAAGCGGTTTGTTATGGCTTCGAAGTATCATTTGGAAGAATCTGTAAAGTGGCGAATTATCGGCCGTTTAGAAGCAGGGCAGTCAATCATGGAAACAGCCACATGTCTGAATATTTCAAGACAGACAGTCTTTAAGCTATGGAAACAGTTTCAAAATGATGGGAGTGTTGTAAGCAGGCCTAGAAAAGGTCGGAAACGAATGACAACTGCTTCTGAAGATCGGCATCTGGCATTAACTGCCGTCGTAACAGAAAGGCTACTGCTTGCCAGTTAAGTTCAGAGCTTGCAGCCGCCACTGGAACTGTTGCATCACGGCAAACAATATACAGAAGGCTTAATGAAAAAGGTCTTTATGCCAGAAAGCCAAGGGTATGTGTTTTACTGTCTTCACAGAAAAAGAGGGATCGCTTTAATTGGTGTAAAGAACATCAAAACTGGACTGAACATCAATGGTCCCATGTTCTCTTTATTGATCAGTCGCGGTTTAGTTTAGCTGGTGATTCTAAACGTGTTTACATCTGCAGGGAGTCAGGAACATGAAATGATCCCTCGAACATTGTGGAACGTGACCGTTTCGGTAGTGGAGGTGTGATGGTATGGGGTGGAATAATGATCGATGGACGTACGCCCCTACAACGTGTTCAGCAGCGGATCTGTGACAGGCCACATATATCGAAATGAGGTCTTAGATCTTTATGTAAGACTTTTCAGGGGTGCATATGGACCTGACGTTTTATTTATGGATGATAATGCCCGTGCACATCGAGCAAACCTCGTTGATGAATTCCTTAAAAGTGAAGACATTAAGCGAATACCTTGGCCACCAAACTCTCCTGACCTTAACCCGATAGAGAACTTATGGGACTACCTTGGAAGAGCAATTGCACGTATACATCCTCCTCCTAGAGATGTAAATGCTCTGAAGACGGCATTGCTGGAAGAGTGGAGATTAATTCCCCAAGCTGTGGTTAACAACGTTATTTCCAGCCTTAAAACACGTTGTGATATGTGTCTACAAGTCAGGGGAGATCATATTCCATATTAAATTCGTAAGACTTAATTCTTTTACTGAATCATTCCTTTTTTTTTTTTTTTTTTCTTAACTCTCTTTGTCACACTTTATTACCATTTTTATTGTTTCATGCTACAATTTTATATCACATGAGGTGATCTTCAATTTTTTCTTTTGCATTTATGTGTCATCATGTTATGTACGATTCCACAAAAATTCATTAAATTATAAGTCATAGTCTCTGAGAAATCCGTGAATTTATGCACGTAAACATAATTTTGGACATGAGTGTACATCTTCGTAACACTTTTTTTTTTTTTTTTTTAATTTGTAAAATACTATATTTTAAGCAGTTGGGCCATTTAATAAAGATTAACTTTATCATTAGGCTTTGTTATGAACCACAGAACTCATGTGAAAAGTGAATGAATAGGGATATATTTACTTACATATGGCAGCAAAACTATTTTGCTTTCATTTGTGAAAACCTTGTGTAAATAATAACAATTTTTGTAGCTTTCCTGAAAAATTGAATGAGGATCATTGTACTTTATATCATAGGCTAATTAGTTCACAGACAATGCAATTTTGATTGTGAATTTCTAGTTTTGGAAGAGCAGTTACAATAAGCTGTTTATAAGATTTAATTGCAATCAGCATGTTTATAATAATTGTTTATAGGATCAAATGCTTTAATAGTAACTTAATGGAAAATATTACTTCCTGAAATACGGTAAGTCTCGTATTCCAGCATATACCTTCTTAAAAATAAACTAAGGTTGAATCCCAAAAGGAAATTGCAACCCAGTAGTTATAAATTGATGCATATATTGATATATATGATAAATATCAAAATTAAAATTAATGAATCTTTTTTAGAACTTGTGGAATTTTTTCCTGTGGTGCAGTTTACTGTTATTTCAATAATATTCATATGTTATAGTGAGAAAAATGTATTGTATGAATTCAAGTTTTGAAGGTTGATTTTTGTATTTGTGCTGATTTCACACTATGTTGTATAGACTTAAATGTTTCGCCTTTATCTCCAAAGCAAATAGCTTGATTTCTTCAAAGTGTAATGTGAATTGAATATACCAGAACATTAAGAACAATACTGATGGGGAAAGGATACTGGTACATTCTAGCAGAATGGAATACACACATTCTATAAATAAACAGCAGATATTATGAAAGCATATTACAATAATCAAAATGGTTTTGTTGACCATTGAGATTTCTGTAAATGCAGTGTCAATATAGCTAAATGAATCATTTTCTTACTCGGAAGTTATAATAATCCTAGGATTCTCAAAGATAACCCTATTGTAGCGAAAATTGCTTCTTTCGACTGAGCACACAGTGACTCATTGGGTAACATGTCGGATTCGGAAACTGACGGCGCTAAGTTCGAAACCCATCAAGGGCAAGTCATCTAAAAATTGGTTTTATTTAAAATTCCTTCCTGATAATTTTTTCCTTTATATTTCATTTATGGAGGACTTCTCCATTTTCTAGAACATTTAAAATCTAGAATGTTCTAGCTCGTTTCAGGAAATATTGTCGATGTTCGAAATTTTCTGGAATTGTTCTACTACTATTGACGATTTATCAAAAACTTCGCAGATATCGCAAAACTTAACACAAAGGATGACGTACAAAAGTGGTGTCAATCTTGTGATGCCTATGCGGGTCGGAAAGGACCGAAGAAACGCAGCTGAGGCAAGCTGCAATGTTACAGTATAGAAGCACCTTTTGAAAGTATCGCCTTTGACATATTGGGACTTCTGCCGCGAATTGCTGATGGCAACAAATACATCCTCATAGTCATTGATTACTTCAAGTGGCCTGAAGCATATCCTATTCCTGATTAAGAAGCCGTCACAGCAGAGGTAATGATACAGCACTGGATTTCCAGGTTCAGAGTGCCTTTTCAGTTATATTCCGATCAGGGAAGGAATTTTATCTGGGCTGTAATTAAAGAACTCTGCAAGCTACTCAGCACTGACAAAACCCAAAGGACTCCTTTACATCCCCAGTCGGACCGCATGGTAGAGAGGTTTAATCCAACTATCTTTAATAACCTCTCATTGGTTCCAGAAACCAACTGGACTGGGGACAAGAAGTTACCACTGTTTTTACTGCCTTAGCGCGGTGCAGTCTACGAGACTACGGCTATTCCCCATCTAAGATGCTCTTTGGTCGTGACCTTCGTCTTCCCTGTAATCTTGTTTGGTCGCTTTCCGGATGCGCCTTCATCGCCTGAGGAGTACATCCAAGACTTCCAGGCACGGTTTGAAGTGATGCGTAATTTTGCAGGAGACCATGTCAACTTGGCGACAGAGAAGATGACGACACGAGAGCTACTGCACATCGATTCAACGAAGGAGACAAGGTGGGGTTGTGGAATTCGACTCGATGTAAAGGACTGTCCGAAACTACAATCACCTTGGGATTGTCCGTACACAGTCTTAAACAGGCTGAACGACGTTGTGGTTCGGATCCTTAAGTCATCGAACTTTAAGCCCAAAGTCGTTCATTACGACAGGTTAGCTCCTTACTATGGCCATAGTATGTAGTGTATATAATTGTAAATAGTATTAGACCATAGTCCTTTTTGTTTTTAAATTTGTATTTGAGTTGTATTTAGTATTTGATTTGTTTTAAGTTACTTATTGCAATTATTGTTTATGTTGTTTGTTATTGTAATGCATTGTTTATTATTGCATTGATGCCTTAGTTGTAAATTTGGCTTCCTGTCCAAGGATTGTACTGCTGGGACGTGCAGTCCTTGGGGAGGGAGCAGTGTTACAGATTTTGTATTTAGTTAGCTAATTTTAGTAGAATTATAATTAAAATTGTTTTATTTTCCCTTACAATGCAGTGCGTGACGAGTTTTAAGAGAAAGCTACACCGAAAAAGTAAAAATACAAGGGCACGTGCATTTGATAAATAGATACCTTGTAATTTATATTTAAACTGAATAAATGTAATTGACTACTGTGTTAGCTGTGACCGTAACTCTACTATTTTGCTTTCCAGAACTGCTACAACTATCTCGCGTGCCCAATTAAAAAGCTTTAAAAATGCGTGAGAGAAAAATTTCAGTTCAGTTGTTTACTTAGGTGTTGTAATTTTGAGATTGGATTAGCTTTCTCTGCGCCTTGGATTGCGTTCTATTCAACGTTTTAGTAGTTTAAAATGTAACTACTGTGTTATATTTTGATATTGTACGAATATCTTTGTGGGAAAAAATTCAGCGTTTTTGTTATACAGTGTGTCAGAACGAAATGTACCTATTTTGAACAGTCGATTAAAAACAAAGTTTTAGTGCTACGAGGGCAATATTGGCCACATGTGGGAGCTGAATTCGTAGGGTTTGGAGACAATATTTTTTCTCGCGTCTGACGCACCTGCGCTTTTGCTGAGCCGACAAACGGAAAAATGGCGTCACTGCAAGAGAAGGCACAAATTGTTCTCTGGTATGCAGAACACAAATCCGCAGTAAAAGTGGCAAAGAATGCTTCAAACAGTTTATAAAAGAAATCCGCCCCAGGTTAAGAGCCTAAAAAAGTGGCACAAAGCGTTTCTCGAAGTGAGAAGTGTACGGAAAAGATCTGGACATGATCGGCGTTTATATTCTGATTCACGTGCATTCAATCTATTACGAACCCCGTACGCACGCAACAATATCTTTGTTGTGATGCACGCATGAGTTCTGTGAAACCGTTCGTCAGAATTTTAAAAAAAAATTTTATCAGCTGTGTAAACCTAATATAAATATAAAATGACCAATTATTATGCTTCTAACCTGCAAAGTTTAGAAATGATGTTTAATTTTATATTAAAAAAATAGCTTTAGGAAATAAAAAATAAATATTTTTTTAAGAAAATACAATTCTGTTAGTTTTTAAGTCGTTCATTTTAATAATACATCATTTTTGCAATTTGTGGGAGGGGAGGAGAAGCTAAAAGTAATCATTTCTTTATCACTCCAGTTGTGTGCAGCGCATATTACAATTTTCTGTCACTGACTAAGAAGTAATTTTCATTTTCTTAAAAATATTTTAGCGTCTGGAACGTAAAGTAGCAAATTTCGAGGCTATCGAAATAAGTATACAAAATGTCACGATTAATCAGCTTTAAAATGTGCTGTATTTTTGGCATATTCAGATATTTTAAAATTAACTGACACTTAAATATGTCGGAGTTTTTCCAATCTAGCATACAGCCCCTGACGTAATAATGAGGTTAGGACTGCCAGGATGAATCAATCCTGTATGCTTAGTGCCCATATGTTATAAATGCGCAAAAGTTATGGAACGCAGTAAAAGTGGCAAAGAATGCTTCAAACAGTTTATAAAAGAAATCCGCCCCAGGTTAAGAGCCTAAAAAAATTTTTGCATCGGTTGCAAAAATCAGTGCTAAATTTTTATAATTTTGAGAGTAAGGCAACATGAACACAATCGAATAAATTTTCTCAATCTTATCATGAGCCGCGGAATATTGGATCGTATGGTATTAAAGGCCTACTAGTTAGCCGTACATTATATATATCGGTATATTATGTAATACCATTTGAATCTTACAGTGTAGGAACTGGAGTTAAATATGAAGACATCTTTTTAATACAAATAAATTCATATCTATATTAAATTATATATATCATTGTGATTCTAATAGGTCGATTAAATCAAGAAATGTTTCAAATTTATACTTGCTTATTAAATATTGCTGCTTGTGTATGTCAGATCATTATAACATTTGTGGTTCAATAAAATAAAAACAAAAGGGGTCGAATCTTACCCCAGTGTGGTACCTGACATCCGCTTCCCATCTTGAGTAACTCCGTTATTTGGTGTGAATAATGATGGATTCGAAACTCTCCAGTTATTGCTACCACTTTCTAGTGTGACGGTATCCAGATTTTGGTTTGAGACACTGAATCGGGTGTTCAGTTTGCCACCAACTAATGTCCACAGCGAAGCTCCCCTGTTTCCCATTCCATATGTTGCCGCTATTTTATCCTCATCGTCATCTTCTGAAAATTCTGGCACTAAGAGGTTCTGCTGTTCTTGAGGTATTCTAGAAAGGAATATAATAAACATTAGCCGGATCTGATGATTTTGCAAGGAATATAATAAACATTAGCCGGATCTAATGATTTTGCAACGGCAAAACCAGGCATCAGTACGCCATTAATGAATTTGTCTAAACTAGTTTCTTCAGATTCTCGCTAGTGCATTAATAATTAAAAATTTCCCATTTCTTTTATGTGCCGTGTTTATGTAAGATACCGAATCAGTTTCGTTCACTAGTACGCCCTTTTTTCAAATCTTTGCACTCCATCTTAAAGATGGCAAAATCTAAACCACTTATTAATGTTTGAAATAGATAGGTGGAATTAAGGATCTGTATGTAACAACTTAACCAACATTAGTTAATTTAATTTTCTGTGTGTAATATTATGGATGATTAATGACTTATTTTTTTAACTACGGTACTCAACAAAAAGATGAAAAACCTAGTATCAAAACTTTTTCTTAGGCGTTTTTTAGATGTGTGTTGACCGCGTATCATTTCTGCAATTATTGTTACTTAATGCGACACGTTTATTGGATGCTGGATGCAGTCGGCACTAGCCAGTCTGAAGCATTTAATTGATGCCAACTATAACCAGCGCTATCCGTGAAGGGGACGATTCTGTAAAGGATATGAAAATGTCTTCCAGATAGAGTGAGCGCTAGTTTTTTTTGCCACCCGATCCAGTCTTTGTAATTCTTAAATTCTGCTGTTTGATAGCTTCCTAAATTTAAAAAAAAAAAAAAAAAAAAACTCCCTCTCCTAATTTTGTTTTCAGGTGCGCCACACTGTTGCATCAGCTCAGATGCCAGGCCTGCCGCTTCCAAAGTGTTGAAATACCGTGGGTGAAATTTTTTAACACCTCGAAGACATGCTATTATTTTTATTTAATTGTAAATTCCTTTCTATAAAAAAACATGAATATACTATTTCCAGACGACGATGCGTAAGACATTTTACTTGTCTTCGGAATAAAAATACGTTGCTCCTAATGGAAAAAAAAAAAAAAGTGATTCATTTAAAACATTATTTAATGAATTTTGATTAAGCTTTGTTTTGCATCACAAATATAAGAAACAACGTAAAACGTTCTCTAAACATTTATTATATACCGAAAGGAAAATTTCTATTGACACTTTTTTAAAAATATTATCCATTCACAGTAACATTAAAAGCTGATGATGATGAAATTTGCAGACACACACAGATTGCAGTTTTCTGTGTAAAATAAATCTACCTAATTTTATCATATTCATGCTTTGTGATGTGAGTCATATTCACCGAACAGTAAAGCATGTATTTGTACGTCGAACTGCATTGTGTCTTAAGGGCTACTATATCATATCTAGCGGCGCGCGCCGATAGGCAGGACATTTCCGAGAAACGAGATTCTAGTAGCACTGGTTTAAACAGGTGGTTTTCGAAAAATGTTTCGTCTAGCCGAGGAAGGGGTGTCTCGGTTATGAGGAACATTTTGAAACTTTTCGAAAAATGTTTCATTAGCCGCTGTGTTCCACGTAGAAAACCAATCAGACGAAAGTTCTGCTTCTGAAGGATCACAGGTAATTTCCAATATGGCGTTGGTTACAACTGTTGGGTCCTGAACGGTGGAAATAGAAGCCGATTTAATTGAAGAAATACGGAAAAAGCCGTATATATATTGCTGTTTTGTTGTAGTGTAAGTGTCTAAGTCATTTTTAAAATGTTTATAAATTCATTAAATTTATAATCGTGGAAATTTCAGAGTAGACAGTTCCAAGTTTCACTTATGCCGAGATTATCAAGCATTCTGCTTGAGTTTTGTTCCGGCTGTCATCAGATGTTTGCTCTGTGGGCGCTGAAGAGAAAATAAATTCGAAGTGCGAGTCCAGAAAAGCAGGAGCTAATGGCGAAGGGGCGTGACCAGTTGTCACGTGGGCTGCAAGCTGACATTGGTTGCGAGTCTTCTAAGGAATACCTCGCTAAAATTGCAATTAAATATGATACAAAACATATATGAAAGTAGAAATAGTAAAAAGGATTAAAAAAATATGAGTCTCATGGCATAATTAAAACTATAATTTAATCTAAACTAAATCTTTCTATGCTCAGTTCCTGAAAAAATCTTATATTAACCTCTAAACTCCGAAATTATTCTTACATTCAAAGAAGCCAATACTCACTGAAAGATGGTCCTCTTCCAGTGTCATTTACTGGAACATGAATACCGTTCAGGCTTATAAGACCAGGGTTTAGGGTAATAAGGTCATTCAAATTTCTCTGTAATTTGTCATAAACGTTTTTTTTTTTTTTTCCTTTATGAAAGACTAGAAAAGAGAACTTTGGTGGCTCGTAAAAGAACGCGGGGCGTAGGGATCCGAATACCTTAATTGGGCCCTATTATTCACTATTCATTCCTATTATGGAATAACATTATAACAATAGATCGGTATTGTGTAGACTTACGGCAAATGCGTAAAAACTATACATTAAGCTGTCAAGAAATATCAATAAAGCATAGTTTCTTGTTGCTTCAGGGACAATGCAAGATACTGTGTCGCAGGGATAATCACGAAACAGATGAAATGCTTGACATACAAAACTGTACCTCTTCCTTTCTTATTCTTCGAATCTATCGAGAATAGTTTTTCTATATCTATAGTTTTTCTTTCCGAGCAAATGGGGAAACTTTAAAAAAAAAAAAAAAAAAAAAAAAAAAAAAAAAAAAAAAAAAAAAACCTCTTTACTAATGATGTTTTCGAGGAGTGGAGGATTTCATCTCTTTGAAATAATGTGACTTTTTTCAGATACGGTATTAGTAATCCCTTAAGTCGTTAGAAAAAAATACCGTGATACTAACTTTTTTGATTAAGCAGAAGGTTTATTGTTTTATTTTTCATTTTTTAAACAGATATCCGTTATTCGGCCATTCCATTTACAAGCATCCCAATAATAAGGTAAAACTAGTATGCTTAATAATCTTGATTTTCTCATATATTACACATATGATTGTAGTTTAGGGAAAACTTGAAAGTAATGATGTAACATTTTTTAACATAGTCTATCAATTATGTTAGAAATAAATCTTAAAGAAAAAACTCTTGATAAACTTGGAAAATTAAAATGCGATTGTTGTAAATCTGATATCTATATGATATAGCTAATGCTGATATCTATAACCAGAAAGCCATTTCTATTAGATACCCCCCCCCAAAAAAATAAAAGTTTACCTTAAGTTCAATATATGTGTTACATGAAATGAAACACAGTTGTTGAACTTATTTTCATGAAACATATATGTTTCATTATTATAAAATAATAATAAAACATATATGTTTCATTACTATAAAATAATAATACCTGTTTCATTTATATTATTAGTTATGAAAATAATTAGTTTGCTTTTTAAAATCTACTGACATTAGGATTTCTACAAGTATTTTATAGTGGAAAAATATCTTTTCAGAAATTAGAATTTTAAACTTACTGCATACGAGCTACCGATCCTCTGTAAGTTTTCTTTTTATAACCGACTGAAGCTTCTGTGTAAGGAAGCTTCATGTCCTGCTGATAAAAGTAGCTGTCTCGAACAAGCGGTGGAGGCTTTGTGTTGAGAGTATCTACGCCCAAATATGAGACCTAAAAAGGTTTGTTATTTTATTTAACATTGATAAATGTAGAAAATGTATTTTTTATTTCATGAAAATATTTCTTTTTAAAAATTTTACCTTCATATGTCTATCAATAATCCAGTTGAGTTCGAAATCTTCATCATCGTCTCCAAATGGATTGATCAGCTGCTCGGCGACCTAAGGTACAGAACTATTCATTATTACTGAAAATGAAACGTGCGTTCTCATATATTGCATGCTGGAAACTAGTTACGTCTTTCATACTGCAAACTAAATTGCCTACAAGCTTACATGAATAAATAGCTGATAATAAATAAAAATCCTCAGAATCTCAGATCTTGCAAAAGCAGTTGGTCATTATGGTAACTATTTCTGTTTCAAAATTACGAAAGAAAAGGCTGTAGTTAAAAAAATTGAAAAATTATTGCAAGTTAACTCGTAAAAGTCTTTCCAACGGCGATCTTAAAAAATTAGTCAAACAGCAAGTGCACGCAGAAGACAAAATTTGCGGTTCTGAAAGTGAGGAACAGAAAGAACCTACAACAGATTTTCTAAAAAACGTTTAGCCACTATAACGAAAATTATGGACCAGTTTATACAAAATATTTTTGATAAAAGTTAAAAAGTAAAACGAAGAGTGAATGATGCGATATCATGCTATCAACGGTTAATTGCTAAATGAAACAGGAAGAGGCAAACAACGCTAAGATGACTTCTTCTCACACACACACATACACCCCCACCCCCCAAAAAAGTTCGAATGAGAAAGAAACTTTCTTATCACATACAACTTCTTTTTTCAAACTCTGTTTGATTTCCAGCAACATTTTATGAATAAAAATCGATATTTTTAAAGTCTATAATTAATGTGTGTATTTAATAATAAATATTATAAGAAAAAACCTGATAAATTTTCTTATTCCCTCTTTTGTTTCATTTAACTGTATTATTTGCCTGTTAAGATGAACGCTGTTCCGTTTAGTGCTGGACCTTATTGGAAACGCGCGATCTTACTGTATTTTGATATTTTTCTTTTTATCTGAATTTATTATAAAAAATGGCAAAATGCAGAAACAAATGGCGAAGGTCTTACTGTATTTTGATAGGTCTGTTCTCTAATTTTATGATAAAAATGATAAAGGGCAAAAACGAATGCCAGAATTTTTTAAATCGGAATTCCTTCTAAGTTTTTAAAATTTTATTCAATTTTAAAAGATTTAGTTCTATGCTTTTGCAATAGAAGATTTTATTTCTGTATAAGAGAAAAAGAGATATATTTCTAACATTTTTCATATTTTTGAATTTAATATTTGTTTAATTAAAAAAAATATGATAAACTATTTGTCGAGATGTTAAAATTTCTAGGTTGCATACATTTTTTTTCTTGTTGTCACGTCAAAATTTTCAATTTTAAAAGCACGAAAGGTTTCAGGGACTATTAGAATTCGAATAGCTTTAGCTCCATAGCTGCAGGAATTCGATTTAAGTGAACTAATCATTGAGATAATTTCAGATAATCTATTAGACTTCTTTATCTGGAATGTGTATTCTCCTATAAAACCAAGATATAAATATCAATTCTATTACGAGAAAAGAACATACCTTGAGAAGTCCCATGTAGAAAAACAGCTGAAAAAGGGTGAAAACAGGAATGTATAGATCAAAGCTATGATCAACTTTATCTGCTGTTTCTACGTACTGACGACCAAAAATACAAGCTCCAAAAAATGAGTATGTAGCAAGCGTCACCACCTAAATGTGAATATAAAAATCCAATTAATTTCGTAATTGCAGTATCATCCGCGTAGCAAGCAAGCATCGAATTTGAATTTGTAGGAGTTGTGAAGTTGGCAACGTAAAAGAGATATAAATATGAGCCTTGGGCTACTCCTCTGAGGATAGGTGTTTTTTCGGAAGTGTGCGTAACCACAGATACACAGAAACGTCGATTTCGAAGAAACGAGTGGATGAGCAAGATGCATTCTCTTGGGAGATGGAAGTCAGTGAGCTTTGCGATGAGCCCCTCATGCCAGACGCGATCAAAATCTGGGTAACGATAAAATCGTTCTCTAATCATCAGAAATTTTTCATGTAAAGTTATGCAATGTTTTTATATTTAACTTATTAAACACAATGAACATTTTACTAACCATAATTTTCTCTCTGTCAGAATCGCAAGAAAACCAAATTTTGCATGTGAATGTTGCTGCTGTTTGCCATATTTCAAACTATCTGATCGAGGTATTCTTTCTGTTATCAAGATAATTAATTCTTCCCGATCAATAACCATATTTTATGAAATAACATATTTTCGGGACTTTTGTTTTTAATGCTTTCAGGGAGCTCAAGCTATCAAAAATAACGAGAGTCAGTCTATGACTGATTCTGAAAGAGACATTCTTTCTATACTTCTAGGAATATCAGGAACGTTGGACGAATTATCAAGATGCAAAATATGACAGTGTAACTAAATCTCCCCGAACTTGTTGCACTCTTTGTTTTATTTATTTATTATTATTATTATTATTATTTTTTTTTTTTTTGTTTATTTTCTTTTTTTAACGTGTGGCAAAATGTCATTCCTGCTCTTTGATGTTTAGATTCAAGTGTTCTATTCCAAAGAATATATAAAATTAAAAATTAAAAATGTACTTACAGAGTTTTAGGAATGATGTTTTTCAATCAATTTGCAACTCTTCTACGTTCCTCCACTAAATGTCGTAATGGCATTAGTAGATTGTTTTCAGTTCCCTAAAAAGATGTTTGGTCTTAAAGAGTACGTTCCTCCATTTAATGTCGTAATGGCATTAGCAGATTATTTTCTATACCTCAAAAAGTTTTTTCGTCTTAAACCGTGCAATTGTGAGAGCATTTCGGATATTTAGAAAGTATTTAAAAGGAGAAAAAAAGTTTATTTCAAAAGTTGTCCTCTACTAAGCAATTTAGGAGCTCCGTGCAAAATGGCGAATAATCTAAAGCATCAAGAGTAGCATATACAGAAGATTAAACCGCGGTAAAGCTATTTTTTCAGATCTAGATATTTTTGAATTCAATCGTAAGACATTATCGATTCACTGCATATTTTACTTTATAACGTAATAGTGGCATATATAAATGTGAAACCTAACTAAAAACTATATATTCAAAATCATTTACAAGGCCATAAAAGACTATCCCAGAAGTTGAATTCTGCGAATCAATCTAGGAACTCTGTGTAAAGTGGTGAAAGATGTAAAGCATCGAGATCAACCTGAACAGAAGATTAAGCGGTGATAACACTATGTTTTCAGATATAGATATTTTTTGCAGTCAGTCATAAAACTTTATCAACGCACTGCATATTTTATTGTTCAACGTAGTGGTGGCACATAAAAATATGAAAATTACTATAACCTAATAAACATATAAATTCTCTTGCAAAAATGTCGAAATGGACAGAAAAGGAATTTGATATGAATATACATTTATTGCAGAGTCGCCCAGTAGTGGTTAGGAGAACCGACTGTGATATCGAAGGGACCGGGTTCGAATCCCGAAGGCATGGATTTAAATTGTCTGTCCCCTCATAGGAAGTAACGGTGGCCGCCTATTAGGTGCCTCCACGATAAAATGGCCACTACCTTCCGGCCTTAGGTGTGGCCAATGCTGAAAAAAGGCAAGTGCCCGCCGTTCGATTAAAAGAAAAAACATTTATAACAGAGAAAGAAATATGCCATTCAAAAGTCATTTTATGATGCATGATTATCAATAAATCTCGCAGTGCAGGGATGTGCAAAATCTACAATGTGATAGAAAATTCGTCTAATATGGGGTATGGTCCCCTCTCGTAGCCAGATAGGTCGCGCAGCGTGATAGTATATTGGATAGGAGTGGGGACACTGTAACAGTCGATTCAACACCCGCAGGAAAGCAGTTTTTAACTCCAGGATGGTTTTCGAAGGGGATGGCGAGATGAAATTGCCTTACCAAGAGCATCCTGAACATGCTATATAGGGTTAAATTTAGGAGATATAAATGGCCATTCCATGTGGCCAATATATTTGCTTTCCAGTTAATCGGCGATCAGCTGAGTGGCATGTGGATGAGCTTTGTCGTCCATTAACAGGAATCCAGGACAAATTGTATTCCTAAAAATTCGAACATAGAGCTATAAGATCACATCTCTATACCTCACAGCAGTCAGAGAGCCTTCTTCAAACACATTCATGGGTGTATGGCCGTCCAACATAATGTCTGCCCAAACCATTAGACCTCAACCGCTCTAAATTATCCTTTTTCTTTCACTTGAGGACTGATCGTGTTTCAGATTCTCTCCAGGTACAGGTGCACCAAAAATCAGTTTCCAGGCTGAATCTCGACTCATCTGTGAAAAGCATGGTACTCCAAACGCGCATGTTGTCTGCGTCATGCTAAACGCGCCTTTTTGTGTACTGCAGTGAACGGGGCGGAAACAGTGAGTCTTCTGTAATACAGACCTATTTCAGGAAACTTTCGGGCAACTGTAGACAGTGATACTCGGATTCCCGTGGCAGCATACAGCTCGTGCGAGAGCTATAACGCTGTAGCAGCCCTGTGTCGCCGCGGTGAAAGTACCAAATAACGTGTTGTTTTGGATTTATGTATTTTTATAATGTCACGTATTGTTTATATTCATTTATATACTATGCCAATCTCCTGTAATGGTATTATTGCATGCTTTTAAACCGAATTTTTCACTTACTGTGTTCATAAATGATTATTTCTAATATGTTGTAACCTTGTAATTACAAATCAATAAAGGTTTGAATTGTAAACGTAGTTCTTTTATCCTGATAAGGCCTTGGTAACATTTGGCAATTTTCACCAACTTGGTGAACTCTGTAAAATTTTGGAAAACACATTTTTGAAGCTCCAAAGTGGAGTTTTCTCGGTGCTTCCAGTAATGGTTGAGCAATACTATAAATATCTATTGCTCCGTGGCCGAGAATTAGTCAGTCCTATTCTTCATTCAGAGTGAGACTGTATTGAGGTCTTACTTAGTAACTATCGCTTTAGAATTTACTTTGTGAGTGATTTCAATGATCTGCGATATTCCTAGAGTTTTAAGAAGCATTTGCCTTATTTATATTATTCTCGAGCTATTTATAATGGTTTTCTTTGCAGTACGGACTGTGACTTTTTTCTGTAGAGTATTATTAGTTTTTTCTTCTACATCTGGTGTAGTTATTAAAGAGATCTTCACAAGCCTGTAGCGCGCAAGGAGGAATAAGGAATAATAAATAAGAAATATTTTCTAATAGTTTCAAAGCTTCCAGAATATATCATTCTAAGATGAAATAAACTTCTCTTAACCACTTTCTAGATTTGGAAGGGAGGTGGGGCTATTTTCCCATCTTTCGGCTGAGGATTTATGGTTTAGATTAAAGTTTAAAAATTAATGTATTTAACTTACTTGAGTATATACCAAAGGAATACTGATCCAATCATAGCTCCACAAAAGCCCACATTTTGAACGAAATTCGTTGAACTCCTAGGGAAGAATCCAAAAGAAAAAAATCGTATTGAAAAACAAGTTTAATTTACAAAATTACATAATCATTAAAATTAAAAAGGTGTCAGAAAAACTATTGAGTTTGTTTATAAACAGTGATTTAGGAGAATTTTTACTTTTCAACATGACCTTGTATTGACCATTTGCATGGTCTATAAAGAAGTTCTTAAACAAAGAAATAAAGCTAGATTTGGGGAAGCTGTATCTATCTAGGCTAAAGTGACTACTGTTTCATATACGATTGCCATCTTAATTCTGAAACTCTGCATTCCTATCTTGAAACTTATGAGAGATGAAGTCAATGGCAAACAAGCAATTACGGAATTAATATGAAATACAGTCCTGACATATAGCAGTAATTTGAAGAAAAGCCTTCATTGCATATCCGATAGTCAGCATAAACACGCCACTGATTCCACAACAAAACGTAAACCTTTTAAACAAAATTTGCCTCTGGAATACTCATGGTTGGATCATAGTTTGAATGTCAGTACAGAAATATAAATGCTAAGTAATAACTCATCAGTAAGTTTAAATTTGTAGTCAAGAAACGTTTGTCAGACATAGTGTAGACTGGATATCCGAGTCAAGACATGACATAAGTTATCCCATTAGTGAGTTTTGCGAGATGGTTCTCTTCTAAGGAAAATGAGGTAGTCATGCAACAGAGGCAGCACGGCGATATGTTTTCACAATCATTCTCATTGCGCTCTTTACTTATCGTTAGTGTTGTTTGTTGTTCTAGAAAAAAAAGAGAGCATTTACAAGTTTCGCCTCTCTTCAGATAGGCTGACATTTCAGGCTTGCCTGTGCAGCCAGTAAACGTCTTGGCCTATGCGTTGGCTCATCGACACTGTAGTAAGAAGAAATATCGGTGCAGCGGATGTCTTTGCATTTGATGGCATATCGCAAGTTCGCAATTTTTTCATAAATTGCGATTTCATCTGTAACAATGCAACACCAACGCGTTGAGAAGAGTTGTTTCCAAAGAAATTGTCAATAAAGTCATGATTGATGCACCTTAGAGATAAGCACAATCATCGTATAGACAGATTTCGTGGGTAACATAATACAAAAAAATCCGGCGCGAAATTCGATTGCAGCGCGATCTTAAACAAATGCAACTCTCACTATTGAGAAGTTAAAAAACCATCATGGCAATAGGAGGTTAGTCATCAGGTGCAGTGATCTCACAGCACCTGGCATGTAATTTTGGACCTATATTCTATAACGCAGTTTTAATCAGACGAAAGTACTTGAACTATTGCAAATCACAGTATCTGATTTCTTAGATAACTTGATGCAGTTCTCGGCTCCTGTGTGATTCCAGTAATGATGCAAAGCTTCTTGTTGGATAATTTTGGGCTGTTGATCATAGGTTGTGGATGAATTTATGGAATAGCCTCCGAGGTTCTGGAATTCTTCTGGTGGGATTGCGTAAAAGAACAGGTTGCCATTCCGAGATGTTAACAGTTTACAAACGTTTATTAATTAGCTATTTAATTGGTAAAATATGCAATAAGATAACACTTGAAACGCTGCAGAACATTCAAAAAGAAGTTCTTGCTCGAATATAGATGTATAATTACTGCTAGTTACACATTGAGCATGCTTATGTATAGTACTGATATTTCGTTATTCTGGAAATTTTCTTCTTCATAATGCCCTACTTATAATTAATATAATTATTAATATAAAAAATTGTACCTTGCTGGCGCGTGTTAGTTTTGTTACTAAATTTGCATCCGTCATATAATGCCACACAAAATATTAGCCACATACGAATGCCGATGATCGAAGGGATCTCATATTAAAATTATTGGTGGATATAGGGCATCATTTCTACTATAAAACGATGACTCTGCATAACAATGCTATTGAATTTTTTTTGTACTATCTTTTGTAAAATTTTAATCACTTTAATGAACACAGTAGGAATAGGAAAGAATTGCACGATTTTGGATTTGTGCCATCATGAAAATTGTTTTGTATAGCCTCACCTTGTTTATCTTGCTAGAGACAGTAGTAAAAAATTGTACCCATTCTTTCCCTCGAACCTTCGATATCAAAATACGATCTAAAATAGAGCTTCAAAAAGGAAGGATCTGTTTAAACAAATCGGTAACTAAAACTTATGCTAGTCAATTGGCAAAACACTCGAACACCAAACAGATTTTGATGGACCAATATTTAACAATCAGTGCAATTTTCATTGATTACTTCTTGAAAGATTAGACACAGACCCTCTGTTCCAGTTCAGTAAATAAAGCAAATAAAATAGGCTTTTATACTACAACTCTTTTATACCTTTAAATTATAATATACAAGATTTAAACTTTTATAAAGGTTTCTGTGGAAAAATTACCAATATGAAAGGTGTTTCTGTTAGCGGAATTAGTGATAAAAAGGCATTTTTCACTATAACAACATTTCAAGATATCAGGAATTAAAACGTAAAAGAGGGAATTTGGAACCGTATAAAACAATGTAATTAAGGTAGATAAGTAGGTAATTACAAAACATAAATTTTGTAAAGAAAATTTTGCGCCAGAAAAGAGATAAAGAAGACAACTTAATATAGGAATTAAATTTTCCATTTGTACAAATGCTGGATTCCCAAACTTCTTACTTATCAAGTTTGGTTTGGTTTATTTCACAACGGCAAAGCAGCACACAAGGGCTATATGTCTAAGGGAAGGAATGCCTTCGTGGAGAACTTTCTGAGTGTAAATTACTCGTATCCATGTCGCAAATGGGGAAATCAAAAATACCAATACAGCCAGCCCGTTCGCCCGGACTCGAACTGCCAAAGTTCAGCGACTTTATCGTTTAGCCGCTGATGGGCCTTTTACCTATAAAACAAATTATATGAGCCCTGAAATCAACTCCTATTTGTCTTTTCTTTTCTTCGATTTGAAGACTTTCTTCTTTCTTGATTTTCACTTTACGTAATTCATTTCTTAAAATGAAATTTTAGGCCTATGAGTAGTCGTTTAAGAGATATTGAGCTGGTTATCTTTTTAAATATTTGCATGAAGTAATAGACAGTCTTTAAAAAGCTATACGTATTTATTCTAAAACAATATGTTTTGGAACATGAAAAATGTAGTTTAAATCCATGCCTGTTATTTATCTGACTAAGTGTCGTAAATTTTTTATGACATATGAAACATTATATAGATATATAAGTTAAAAGAAAATCTCAAGAAGGTTGGACTTCTAATCCACTCCAGTTTTGAAGGAGAGCCCCCTCAACAAGCTTTGCCGTAACAGCATAAACCGAACCTTTCCTAGCAGTTTTCTGCCCACCAGCGGCCGAGCGGTAAAATCGCTGAACACTGGTAGTTCGGTCCAAGGTTCGAATCTCACGAACGGGCTGGCTGCAAGGGTGTTTTCGTGGTTTTCCCCACGAAACGTGTATAACGTGTATAACGTTTAACGAAACGTGTATAACGATGTGTAACGTGTATACGAGACAGTTTCCCTTAGAAAGTCCTCCACGAAGGCATCCCTCCCCTTAGGCAGATAGCCCTAGCGTGCTTTGCCATAATTAAATACACACCTAGCAGTTTTCTTTATGTCATATAAAATATAAAAGGATTGGTACATTATATTTAATTCAGAAAAGCTGGTAGTAATACTACGCTAGTATAGAGAGTTATTTTCTTCATTGTTTATCACTTAGCCAATGGTCTCAAAGTGGCCAAATACGGTGTTGCGAAAATTTCGTGAGTTAAAAATCAGGGATTATTAGAAGTCGAAGTTTTCATTATTTTCATCACCATTAAAAATCAACATGACTAACAAAAAAAGTCTATAAATGAAGCTAATTAATTTGCAGTGTGATATAAATCTTATTCACAGATTTTATTAACTTTTATTAATTTTCAGAAAAATAAATAAGCTCAGTTACGAATTTTTGCACTACAATTTTTTAAAATTCGCTTTGCTCGGGAATACATTTATGTGTGAACAGATTTTTTCAGAGTTGGATGTTAAATAAAAAAAGAACCCGATTGACAGATCAGCACCTACAATATGTGATGAAGATATTTTCTAGTAATTTTCCTTTAAGCCTACAAACTTAATCAGAATCTAAACGCTATCTTGATTCAAGCTATAGTAAGAAATAAAGACATTTATAATCATTAATATAAATATACTATATATATATTTATGCGTCGAAGAAAAATTTAATGAATAAGAGAGACTAGGTGTTAATTGTTTATTCTCAAGTTTTGCCGCACATATAAAACTGTCTTTGAAAACTTATAAAGTTTTCATAATTTGTTTTAGTTTAAATTAAAGTAAGTTATTTTACGATTAATTAAAATCGTTAGAATTATACTAAATAAATATCATTCTTTAAATTTAATATTTAACTAATAATATATTTATATAATGTAACAATATTATAACAAAGCGCAACAAACAAAAAAGACTTGAAGGTACCAAAGCTTAGATTTCAGAGAGAAAATAAATATAAATTTGAATTTTTTTCTTTTGCAATACTATTATTATTGTTTATGTTTGTTTTGATAAATATTTAGTAAGCGAAATGTAAAATTAGTCAAAAATTATTTTTTATTTTGTTAATAAAAGTTTTCATTCTGTTAAAAATAAAATTGTGGCACGTCAGCTGTTTTCAAATTGTGCATTAGGGTAGCATGCGATTTAAGTTTGAGACCAGTTCCCTAATCAATTATTCTGTTTTATTCTATTTTGAAAATAATTTAATATTACAAATTCATTAAAATTAAATTGATTTATTGTTAAGCCAAAAAAAAAAAAAAAAAAGAAAGAAAGATAAATGGGAATGGAATTTGCAGACACTATATCTTGTCTCTAGGACAAAGGAGAAAAAAGATTCAGAAGTATTATCCAACATGAATAAAAAACACACAGACTGTAATTAGAACGATATCCAACTAGAGAGCAAGAACATACTGGTTCTATTCTCGGTTTGGCAAGACTTGATG